AACTGAAAGAGTATCTAAACAAGAAATGTCTTTACGCACAGACTCTTCAAAGGAAGACATGAAGAATTCAGAGATATAAAAAAGGTTTCAGTATTGATACAGGAGCTTAAAGTTATTTCGGAGTACTCCGTAATAGCTCAGTTAACAGCAGTGGCCCAGATTTGACATACCACTCCGACTACTTCCACGTTCGTGAAAAAAACTTTAACGCACACATATATGCATGTAAAAGTGTGTGTGTATACATACATACGTGCACACATACATGTATGCATGGGCACATATCATATACTAACTTTGTCTCTTTAGTTATTTTCCTGGTAACAGAAGTCTGCAACTGCCATTCAACATAAACAAACTACGTTAAGGAAGAGCACTCAGGCTCTTTAAAAGGGCAGTCAAAGGCCCAAAATGCCCTTTTTGTATTAATTAAAAATTAGGCAGAGAATTCGATTTGATTTTCAGTACAACACTGCATCCGTCCATGGCAAGTGTCTGACTTCCTTATTTCTCTCCTCTGCGCAATATGCGAGCACTTGGTTGTTTTAAACTGTTGCCCTGGGGAATCAAAAGGAGTCTGTAAGAGGGGCCATGTGCCATTTAGAAAGTATATTAGCAACCAAGAAAAAAAGAGACATAGTAAATTGGAAGATGGTTAATCAAACCCATTCAGATTCATGGAACTTAAAAAGCAGGGGTAATACTTCCATGAAAGAACACGGAAAAACACATTGTACAAAACTCAAAACTAACCTATGAACTATATCATAGCTTGCAACCAGTTCGTATTATAGCAAATAAATAAAATCAATTTTAAGCAAAATCTATGATAAATACTCAAACATACAGAAAAACAACTTGGGTGTTGGGCACATACAGGATAGAGACTAGAATTACTGATAGAAACTGAGCTCAAAGAAATCCATTAACAAAATGAAAAAGGTTTAATTCATTAATTCATGGATAATTTGACTCAAATCACCTATTTACTCATGATAATGAAGGTCATTCTACAACACGTTTAACATGATCTGCATTTAAGTGCTTCCATCAGAACAGTCTTTTCACCTAAATTTTGAACCAAGTTAGGTATCTAGAATCAACTGCTTTCCCTATTCCAGGCATTCAATTTCCAGCTGAAAGATTAAAGATCACACATCCTGTGACAATCCTCTTTACTGAATGCCTCTTTACTGAACAACATTTACAGCGGATTCCTCTTTCATTAAACGCTGCAAACTTTGCCAAATGCATACGTTCCTTTAAAACGGGATTACTAAAATCCGATTTAACAGCATCTAACAGCAATGGCATTTGAATAGTCTAGCTCTCTGGCCCACCAGTCAAATGTGATGAATGGCAGTTAGGTTTTTGAGGGAGTTTTTTTTTTTTATTTGTATTTGTTCATTTTTAAATTTGCAGAAGTATAATCAAAACCAAAGTGATCTGCAAAAGTATCAGAATTCTACAAGGTAGTCACAGTCTTAAAATCATCTCTTCAGAGAAACATAACCAATGTGCCAAAACCTGAGGAGAGTAAAACAGATGAGGAGTAGTCCTGATGGATTACAGAACTGAAGATCTTACATACGTTCCTTAGTTCAATGAAACATAACTTTTACCAGATTCAAATCATCCTATTATCTGATTTAATTCTTTGTTTAAAAAGATTTGCTTTATTTATTGCAACAAGGCTCATTTACCTGCATCATAATTTGAATAGAATGGCATAAGGAAGGTGTACAGGACCTCTCAAAACTTTAACTACAAATTTAGTCCAGAAGTAGACACTTGCCACTCTTACTTTATAAGAAAAACTACTGAAGATACTTTCATATTGAAAAAATAAAAGAAAAAATTAAAGGGCTGCAATTCCTATGCTTTCACGAACAGCTTAGGGCTCACTCAAAGCTGTTAAAAATAGTTTAGTCTCCATCTGCCTCCATTTCACATACTTCCAACTGGAACAGTCAGGGAGAACATTCACTGGTCAAAGGCTTGGAGTACTTTCACCAGGAATCACGCTCTGCCTTAGGGCAATATCAAAGGTCCAGGAGAAGTCAGAGTAAAAAAAAATACTTGTAAGAAAATCCCCAATTTTTTTTTTTTCAAAAGGTATGTTTTGATGCGAGCCTCTGATCTCATCTCTTCCCATAGAGAAACAAAACTTCGCATCTAAAGCGCCAACAGTGGTCTTTTTCTTCACATCTGCAGAGAGATTATAGTTTCTTTAGATCATCTGAAGTGATAAATGCTGTTTCCTAGTATAAATATGCAATAGTGACCCTACTTATCTCGATATTGGCTATCAATAAATCCCATTCATAAATTTAAAAGCTAAGTCTACTGACAGTAACGTTTTACATAAAGTTTAATGCAACTGCAATACGTAATGCATCTGTTGGAGATGAAAATAAATCTGCAAGTCAAGGCATATACTGCTAGTACTGTATACAATGTTTCAATGGAAAAGAATCCTTTTTTCTCCTCTCCACAGTTTTGCTTGTACCATCTCCCACAGTCTCGACCCCCACTAAAGTCAGTTATGTTGTTGGTGGTTTTGTTTTTAAAAAGATACCATTGGCTGTGGCTAGACCTTCACTGTCAAAGGAAAAAGGATCAGCCTCCACCTGAAAGCTGGAAGGACAACCTGAGTTGCCAAAAGGTTCCCAGCCGGAGCAGTATGTGAATGAAGAGGGAAGAGGAGAGTGGTTCCCAGGGGAACTGGCTAAACGGGGTTAAACGTATTAGTATAAACAACACTCTGCCCAACCCCAGACTCCTCTACACTGGAACCCATTAGCTTAGTCACCCAAAATTATATAGAAATAACTTGGATATATTTTTTTGACTGAACAATAGATGTAATAGTGCAGCAACAAAGAGCTCAGAACAGGGTAGCCAAACAAGCGTTTGCACAGCATCTTGGCTGGGCCCCACAGGGCAATTCTCACAGCTATATTGCTCAGCTTATATTACCTAAACAGAAGCTTCGACCATAGAAGAAATTCTCTTTCTTCACACTACTTTCTCCCAATTAAAATTTTCCTCATGGAAAAAGTACCCTCCTGGATACTTTCCAAGTATCTGATTTTCATTGCTTTGCTCTCTTAAGCACAAGAAGCTTCTACAAGAAGCTCAAAACCCAAAATAGGATTCAGTATTCCCATTGAGGCTTCCCCAATTCCACTAAGAACAAAAAACAACTTCATCACCTCCATGCCACGTTCTCATGAATGCAACAAAAAACTACATTTTCCTTCCCACACCAACCATCAGCAGTAACAAGTAAATACTCAAGGTGATCCACCAATGACTCAGTAGTGTTTTACACCCACGCTTAATGCATTTCATTTTCCTAATTTCAGGCCATTTCTCAAGACACTTAGCTTTCTAATGCTGTCATCCAAAAGACCTGGAATTCCCTCAAATGTAGCATCATTGAAAACAAATGATAAAGAATAACGAAAAGATGTAGTAGTATTGGTCCCCAGACAGCCATTCCAGTTTGAATTCTTTGATATTTACTCTTCGAACTTCATTTTGTTGTGCCTCCTATTATAGTAATTTCTCCTTCATTGCATTTCTTCAGTTCACACGTTAATAGCTATTATTATCATACTGTTACATGGGAGCATAACGATGTTCCTGGCTGTTTATTACCTTGGATTGCTGACTATTAGCCCTAGGTATTTTCCTGTTAGCAGAGCCAGGTAATTTATAAATATTTCCAAAGTGAAATGACAGATACACATTTTACTGTATCCAGTCAAATTCTTTACTAATTCCTAGTTGTTCAGAAATTGCTTTGCCAAGTTCCATGTTTTGCTGAAACCCCGTCAGCCCTGTCAACTTGAATACATTCGACTAAGCTAAGGAATTTTAGTGATTCTCTGCCCCTTTTAGACAGTTTTCTTCACACATTATTGTTAATTCCGAGCAAGGATCTGACCACTGTAAAGCTCTTTTTGCAAAGTTTGGAAGATACACCTACAAATTTCAAGTTAAGCTTGTTAGTTTTCTCTGGGTCATCTGTTATTCACTCACCCTTCCTATTAATAGGTCTATACTTTTACTTGTTACTTTATTTCTAGTACATTTATTCAACATTCTCTCCTTCTAACATCCCTTGGGAGTTGCTGTAAATAATTAAGAGATTTGTTTTTACTGGTTGTATGTTATACTTCCTACCTTTCCTTTGAATTAGCAAAGTTTGTTTTCACTCCTTATTATCTCTTAAAAACATGCAGCAATTTAGTTTATGAAAACAAGACAGAATATTCTAATAATAAGTTAGAAGTTCCAATTTTCTGTAATATCTTATTTAAGTTTAGGCCTGAAGTCTTTAGCCTCTTAGATCACTTCAGGAATTCACTGTTGGTTCAGTGGGTTTATTTTTTTCTTCTTCCAGCATATGTAAATGATCTGTTTTATAAACATTCACATTTTCTTCAGAAGTCAGACGGTTATCAGACCAACAGTTACTTACAGAAATTAATATAAATAAGATTTTGGTTTCTTTGCAGTTCTGCTTCCAAAGAGAGCAAGCAAATGAAGTTAGTGATACGTTCTTCTCCATAATATTATCTTCTAAAAGTGAAGCCCATATTCCTCTTTTGTTTTCATCTAAAGATATTCACAAAGTTTGCTTTTTATCTCTTTTCATCAAGAGGAGACAATGTTACCAAAATGTTACCAATTTTCTTCAAAGAAAAAAATAAAGTCTTTAAAAAAAGTTAAAGCTTTTCTAAAATAAATAAATAAAATCCTTCTTGATACCAGTATCTGTAGCTTTTCAAGAGACTTCTTCCCTTGAAGTTACTCCCAGTCAGATGCTGTATATTCACTTGTCTGTCTGTGTGAGTGCATGTGTGTATATACACATTCACATATTTAGACAGATCCCAGTGACCAAAATTACTCTAAATCTGTAATATTAGTTTCATCAGAAACGAGGGCTGAAACTGAAAGTATACTATAATTACTCCATATGCTCCTACCTTTTTTAAGCCAGCAAATCCTTCCGACTCCAGAAAGAAGAAGGCAAAGGGCATCAACACAAACAAACATAAATTGGAAAAAAGAGAAGCAAGATTCCATAAACCTGCAACAAATAAGAAAAAGTATATAAGTTTTTAGCTTTAAAAGGTAAAGATGTTATATTCTCATCCCTTACATATAAAAAAGTGGTGTACATGTAAGTACTAACAGAAGTTAGGATTTTATAGATGCTTAGGGTTCTTCACAAGTCATTGCTGCAAAAACAAAAAAAAAAAAATCAATTTCTATGTGTAATGCTCTTCAGTTTTAAAGAAAAACTGAATATCAATTTAAACAGCAGCAACATTCCGAAACTCAGAAGACACACTGCAAACTCAGGTCGACTATTTCCACAACATCCCATTCTTTCTGCAGGGATCTTTAAATATATGTTTTAAAATTTTTCAGAACAAAGTATTCTCTCACCAGTGAATCTCAAGAAGTTCAGTCCTATGTAATCCCTACTACCCATATTTTTCCTCAAGAGAAACTAAGACAAATCATGGATTTGAACATCAGCAATAAACAAGCACTGTCATCAACTCCCCATTAAAAGAAGATATCATGATAAAGCAACACAGTCTTCCACAGTGAGATGATCGGCTCAGTGGATGAGGGGAGAGCAACGGATGTTGTTTATCTCGACTTCAGTAAGGCTTTCAACGTTGTCTCCCATAACATCCTCATAGACAAACTAACGATGCATGGGCTAGGTGAGGTGGACTGAAAACTGGCCAAACTTCAGGGCTCAGTGGGTCGTGACCAACAGCACAAATTCCAGCTGGAAGACAGTCACTAGCGTTGTGCCCAAGGGGTCAACACTGTTCAACCCCTTCATCAGCGACCTGGACGAGGGCACAGAGCGCACCCTCAGCTAGTTTACAGATGATACAAAACTCAGAGCAGTGGCTGATACAGCAGATGGTTGTGTCACCATTCAGAGAGATCTCAACACGCCAGAGAAATGGGTAAACAGGAATCTCAGTAAGCTCAAAGAGAAATGCAGGGTCCTGCACCTGCGGAGGAATAACCCCATGTACCAACATGCACTATGGATCAACAAGCTGAAGGGCAGCTTTGCAGAAAAGGTCCTGGTAGACACCAGAGATGACCACGAGCCAGCAAAGCACCCTCGGGGCAAACTCTGACAACTCATCTCCATTAAGGAGATCTGCTTTGTTAATATTTTCTGAGTTGAACACTTTCTGAACAGCCCAATAATTTCTGGTGGCTAAACATGTACCTATTATCACCATATCAACAGTTGTGCAGGATGCCATGCTTCTTTATAACAGCAGCACTAAGTTGCGGGTATGCTACTACTGCAGGTAACAGGTTTAGCTAGTGTCACGCTTTCCATATCCTGAAAACACAGCTTTTATTTTGTAGTCAAAAAGACAGAATTAGCCAATGGAGAAACAGAGATGAGCCCCTAACCTTCCCCAAAAGTATGCATGTCCACAATCCTATCAGACTGTATCACCTGAAATCCAACAAAGAACAATCCCCAGCAATAACAAAAGACTTAAAATAACTTTTTTTATTTCTTCCTTCTGATGGGCAGGCTTGTTCATTTTCTTTCGTAAAATTTGACCATTTTGGAAAAAATATGTAAAGAAAGAGGCATTTACTGTATATCTGGAGAATTCATTACTGAGTTCTGTATGTAGTTCCAAAGGCAAAATGGCTTAGCAACTATCTTTACCTAAAACCCTCTTACTTTTATAATTCTTTCACTATATAAACTTCCTTTTTCCTTCCTTTTTGATTTTAATGGAGAAGGGGGGGGAGAAGGAGGAAGAAAAAAAAAAAATCAACTTTAAAATAAAAAAATGCAAGCTATCAGCAATTGATAGTACCATATGCTTAGCCAGATAAGCTACACAAAACAAACAAAAAAAAATTAAAACATGTACGAAATGCAATATGCAAATACCAAAGAAGAAAATGCCTAAAGGTGTCCAAATTCCAATTAACAAAAAAATAAAAATAAAACAAGATTTTTCCTTTAGAATTTGCTCAGTGAGGAAGCCCCTGCTACCACAAGGAACATTCACTTCTAGCAACATCAGCATGAATTTCATGGTGACTCTTTACTACAACACGAAAGTACTATGCCATTCTTTTTTCCAGAAATTGGATATTGTTAAGATTTTGGGGCAAGTGGGGAGGAAGGAGGAATTTAAGTGGTTTCCTTTAGTTAAAGGGAGATGGTGTGGTTTGTTACCTAATGGAAAGCTGAATACCTGTTTGTCAAAATTTCAAAAACCTGTATTACATGTACGTCTACAAAGCACGAAGAGTATGACAGTGCTTAAAAGAATAAGCATCCGCAGTATATATGAGGCATGGGGGCGGGGGGGTGGGAAAGGGGCACAGTGCATACCTCGAGTGATTTTTAAAAAGCAGAAACGCAAAAATCTATATATTAACAGTTGACAGGAATCACATTTATAGAATTTCAAAATACAGAGCAACAGTACACATGTAAAATTGTGCAAGGTAAGGACAGCACTGTAATGCTGATCACATACTTTTGAGGGAAGTGTAAATGTAAGAGAACACTAGATTAATAGATAAATATCAACAGATACCCATTTCTCCTCCTACCCACCACCCACTTCACTGAACTCAGAACTTCATGATTCCCTTGTTCCCCTACCATATTTATTATCCTAATTTGATAATTCAAAAGTCAAATTAAAAAAGAAAAATATTTACTTCCTAGTAAATTGACTACATGATAAAACTGCCTAAGAGACACTTGCAAATCACAACATATAAAAGCTTTAAGCATTCTACTAAGATTCTTTTTGCATGGGTAGCAACCTAAGAAAGTCTCCCATAAAACAAGCTAATAAAAATCAAAAATGTCTCAGCCTGGCAAAAGATTTAGATACTCTGCAATTTTTCTTTTCTTATTCCTGTCAGTTTCATTAAGTTTTACCTCCACCTGGTGGTTATGTCTACCAACAGCACAATGAGCACCTTCAGTTGTCAGAAGTATTTCTGGCTCGAGTTCAACACTCATTAGATAAGATTATTTATATTGGTAGAGTTATGCGCTTTCTGCCTAGTTTTAAAATTTAAAACCGCATATTTTTGTTTTTCTATATGCCACAATTAATCTAACGGTCCTACAGCATAAAAATCCCTTAATATTACAGTCAAGTATCTCCATGATAAATTTATCAACTGTAGATATAGGCTAAGAAATTTGAAATGTCTACAGAAAAGTTTTCCCATTTAATAAGACTTGCAAAGCATTAAGCAAAGGGTATGTAAAGGCTACACCAGATGTAACAAAGAGTTACAGAGGTATGGACAAGCATTTCCTGAATTTGCGTGTTTGAGATAGCACTAGGAGTTCTCAGAAATTTCACATGCATTTCATAATTACCTTCACAACGCTATGCCAATATAAGGAAATAGGTGTTTGCAGAGCAGTGGGATATTATTACGCAGAGCTAGCAGACACCACACGAGGGAGCCGCACCCCAAGAAAACAGTTTGACACAAAGCCGTTTGGATTTTGTCAAGTTGCAATAACACAACCCCATGACCTGATCCAAAAGCGTACTAGTGTTTATAAAGTCTTCATACCAGCTCCAAAAAGGCTTTTTTTAATTCAGTCATGCCTATACCTAGTCTAAACTTTGCAATACACAGCCAAACTTGGAAGTAAAGATGCTAAATTTATGTCCACACTAACCGTTGTTATGAGCTTATGAAATATAAATTACACTGTGTATGCATAATATACTATTTTCAACAGATTACTTATCACATTAAATCCAAACAATAGGGTCACTGGAAAATTCAAGGGCCTTTCTATGTGAAAGCTACTTCTTACAGCAGATTTCTATATTAACTCAAGTTTTCTTTAGTACTGTAGCAACTCAAAAGGAGAGTGAAAACTTTCAAAATACTTATTAGGTAGTTTCCACTCCCTGTAATATCATATTGTACTTTTTTCAAAAAAATCAACTTAAACACAGAGAAACAGATTAATTTCCCTTTCCACACTTGGTACTGAAAAGTATAAATCTGAGCAGCTAAAAATCGCTGTGAAATGAGCTTTATCTTTTCAAAATGGGGGGTTGCTAATTTGACAGGTCTCCTAAGCATGACGTTTTACTGATCACAGCACAACTTGTCTAGAGAGAACCTCTGAAGTCATTTAGCCCAGTCTCCTGCTTAAAGCAGGCAACATGCAGGTGCAACCAGGTTGCTCAGGGCTTCCAGTGCTTAGCTATCCTCCTTCTAGTGTCTTCCTCAGTCTTCTCTGACAGCTGGTACACCTTTTCACTCCAAACTTCACTACCTGGCAGAGAGACCAAGGCCTTAGAGCAGGCCTTGCCAGCAAAGACAGAGGTAAGGGCAATCCCAAGGATCTCAGCCTTTTCCACATGAGCAGCAGGACAATGTTTTCTTTGGTCGTCTTCTTTGTGCTGACATAGCTATACAAACCCATGGGATCCCACATACAAATTTCCTGAGGAGGACAAGGTCTATTCTCTTAAGGTATAATGTCTTAATTGCATTCCTCGCTTCCCTCAGATCTCAAACTACAGTCACCCAGTCAAGGCAATTTGTTCCTCCTTACTCGTAAGGAAAAAAAAAAAAAAAAGTCAATTATTTCCAAGATAACAAAAGAAACTCAACTAGTTTCAGAAAGATGACAGAATAGAAATGACGGGCAACATACTTCATTTCTTGCCTCTACCTATCCAGGTTTCATCTGTTGTGAAGTCCTTTAACCTTATTTTTAAAACTCTGCAAATTAGGAATATAGAAGTTCATCAATTTGCTACTCATGACTATTAGATATTCCACAAATATGTGTATTACAGAAAAAAATTCATGCAAGTCTTCAGAGAAAAATACCTTCGAAACCAAAGTACCATCTGTCCACGCAAACAGAAAACACATAGCATAGTTTAACTTGTACATTATTTGCTTGTTTCAGATAGCTTCGGTACTATCTCCTTTCTCGAGCCAAATCTACTGTAAATACGTCCTGCTTCCACAAGCATTTCCCTCAGAGCCACGGGAGAGTCCAAATGATTTTCAAATATTAGTATCCTCTGGCAGAGGCTGTGTCCATTACGCATGTTGCCTAGTCCTAAGCATCTTTACCAAGGACTTGCATACAAAATTCATGCAGTCAGGCATCAGGGCATCACCCCTGCAAGTACAGAAGTTGCACTCTTTTCTCAAATTATTTCAGGAAAGTGATGTATGTTGACTGTGCCTCCTTACTCTGCTTGGTTTACAATTTTCCCTGTTTACAGACAGGTCATTAACAATTGCATTTAGCTATCAATCCCAACTGCTCATAGCTAACAAGTTTCTTGAAACAATGCTATAATTGTAAGAATAAATTTATATGCATCATCATGAACAAACAGGCTTATGGACCTTGCATTTACCCAAGGAAAGAAATTGAACATGTTTAAGTTACTTAGATTCCGGTAGTTCTTATTCTTTATTGATATTCAAAGTAGTGAAACTGATTTTGTTTCCTCAAATCTGCATAATTCAAAAAAAAAAAAAACCACCACACAAACAAGCAAACGACCACACTACACCCTGCAAAAACACGGTGAAGATAACTTTTGTGATCTAGGACATAGTAGCAAAACCAACAACACATCAACAATTCATTTACCATCTTAATTGAAAATGGGGTTATTAGCTTAAAAATAAAAACATATGTGGGAATGTATAATGAAAACATCCATTTTAATTACATTATGCTGAGTACTAACCATGAATTAGTGAGCCATTTAACCACTGAATATAGTAGTTTTGTGGAAAAGAGAGCAGGATCTCATTGCTGATTATTGAGAAGGGCAGAAGCAGGACTGCACCAGCTGAAACTGCTAGAGTGAAGGTGCTCAAGAACAGCCTGAAATTTAAAGAAAGGCACCACTGTTACCACCGTTACCATGCTCCAAACAGGGGTGGGGGAAGCAGTTACCTGATAATCAGTATCTGAGGGTGATGCAGTCTTACATTGCAAAGGGGCAGGAGAGAGGGGAGGCCATGATTTTACAATATCACTTTTTAAAAGGCAACTTGCAAACACTAAGTATTTTACAGAATTCAGTAAAAAATAATTCGTTTCTACTAAGTACCACAATTTTTCCTCTTTGGAATTGCATACATTCAAACTCATGTGTCATATACAGGATAACATAAATCACTGAATATCTCTTGGTAACTACTTTAACTTTTCATTCCCCCTCCCCACAACTACAGTGAAAATTATTCTCTCTCTAATTTCTTGTTAAAACTTTAGAAAGTAGAGCAGCTTTTTAATGACTAACAAGGTGAGTGGGCTCATACATGAATAAGTATTTTAACACTGAACTGAAATAAAATCATTGCTCTTCTTTCACAAAGCAGAAAGTTTCACAAGTATCACATAGCCTACAGTTTTTCTGATAGCTGGAAATCAATATGAAGAAATTGCTAGAATTATTTAAAATGCTTAAACTTATTCTTTTTAGATCTGAAATGCAATTTATACTGAATGCCATCTTGTGGCATTAAGAACTGTGTTCTTCAGAAAACAAGACCAACAAAGAACTTGGAACTAGTTTGAGGCTAAATTAAAAAAAAATTTCAAGTCACATGACAAAAAAGACTACTCCTACAACAAGAAAGTCAGTAAGTTGCTTATAGAATTCTTACTTATTCATAACTGTCTCTCTCTACAAACCTATTTTTTCATTCAAGTAGTCCTTAACTTATATAAGGAAAAAACCTACTAAAGTCCAACTACCTTTATTTAAGAAAAAAAAATACTATTACATGTTTTAGTTGCTAGTTTCTGGAGTGTTTTTTTTTTGATTTGTTTTGTTTTGAAGGAAGTTTAGGTATTCTAAGCCAGAACTGTGAGATGCTATAGCGTATAACATGCTAAAGGGTTTCAAGGTGCTAGAGTTTGGCTTTGTTTACCACCACCACCTCCCTTGTTATTATTGCTAAATGTCCTGACAATTACACTGTGCAAAACAATGTCAACGTGCACACATCTGACACTTAGTACTTTCTGAAAAATTACATGCACAGTTGAGGAACAAGAACGCTTAAGCTGAAGGGAGAGAAAGCATTTCATAACTGAACACTTTTAATGGAAGGATATTACTCTGAAGTGCTAATCTTGAATTACATTGTGATCTTGCAGAGAAAAACAGTATTTACTCGTGATATTTGTTGTATTTTAAAGCTACACGAGAAAGTAGATACAGGGATCAAGAAGACAAGAAGAATTTTATTCTTTGGATGTTCAAAAATTCAGACTCAGGCTATGACTACAGCTGGCTTGAAAAATCATTCAATCTAGAAGAGCCTTAATTAATGAGCTGCAGTCTTAAAAACAGAGAGATCCTTCTTTCTCCTTGAGAGCCAAGACCTTCATAGCATAACAGAATATGTATTTCTCTCTCTAGATCTGAAGTAAACTTTATAGCAAATTAGCAACATAGTATTTCAAATTCATAAAAAACAATCAGACACTACTGGGAGGAGGAGCATCTAAAATTCATATCAGCATCTTTGTACACCTTTTGAGCTTGCCACAAATGCACAACTGAAAGGGAACAGCTTGCAATGTACTTGGCACTTCCCAGGGTACAAGGCAAATCAATAAAACATGCAACAAGCTCTCCTTCCAACAGCATGACAACAACACTGTGGAAGAGCTAAGAATGTTTTACTAAGTAGCAAATCCACATAACTCAGCAAAATAGGTAACTGAGAGGTCAGTGACAGCTCACAAGTGTTCTGTAAGTCTTCAGTCATGTATTTAAAATAGGAGAGGTTAAATTACTATCTAGTTTTACAAAGGAACAGGAAGAGAAGACAGTCACTTGGCAGACCAGCAGGTTTGGCAAGTGTTTAATTTCCATTTGCCCTTTAGAAAAAAAAAAAAAAAAAAAAAGCACTGTTCAGGTGATCAAATGCAGATGCCTACTTTAGGATGAGCTGACTTGCTCTCCAGGCTTCACTGCCTCCTTTGATGAGATTTCCACTGACTGCAGTGGGAACTTAAGCACCTCACATGTAAACACCTACACTTCGAACCTTCAAACTTAGGTGCAGGTCTTGCACTGAATTTCACCTCTAGCATCAAGTTCTCATGCTACATTGTCGCCAACTGTCGCCTATATGAAACCTGTAGGTAAAAAAGCCCTAGAAGAAACTGCCTTCTCGCTCGTCATGCTTTTCATTATCCAAGATGCCATCTGATCAAATTTTTCCTCTGCCCTCCCCAACAGCATAACCCATTTGCCATAACATTTAACATTTAAAAGGAACTGTTATTTAATCTGGAAGCATATCGCACTCCCATTAAATCTACACATTCAGGGAAAAAAAAAGTACTGCAAAAAAGAGCTATACATACGAAATTCTGTTAACAATGGCATCTTCATCTTCTTGCTCATCTGAAAAATCAAGTTACAGCAGGTTACATTCAGTATTTAGTTTTCTTTCTTTAGGCTAAAACATATATATGAAGGAATAATTTTAGCTGAAATTTAAAATTTAGGATTACTAAAGCAAAAATAAGTTACTAGCATTAAAATTTTAAAAGGTTTCTAATAAAAAAAAGAATGCTTTCATATTCTTTTGCTAGTTTTAAGTACTTTTCAATCAATGTAACTACAGAGTTATTTGACCTTATTTTATTTGAATACACAGACCAAAAGTAAGGGTCTTTCACAGGGCTCTAGGGCAAACAAGCTACAGAAAATAGTCATAGGATCCTTACTAACAAACAACATAAATCCCTAGATAGTTCTTTCATTTTCAGGGTTAATGTATTTTTTCAAAACAAGAAAGCATGCCCAGAACAGCAGTAATGACCACTTAGTTGCTTTCCCTTATTCATTTTAACTTCCCCCACTTAGTTGCTTTCCCTTATTCATTTTAACTTCCTACCCCACCCCACCCCCCCCCCCCTTTTTTTTTTTTTAAGTCATACCCTGGTTTCTCTTCAGGTATATTGCATTTTGGACTTTTTTCCCCCCCCACTTATTTCTTAATAATATTTCAAAAAGTAAGGATGTTAACATCTAATTCAGAGGCCAAACACAGATACATCCTTTATCTATCTGTTTCTATACAGAGCTTGGTGGTTCTTCCACATCTGAAGTCATTTTCTAGTCAGCTTTCTTCTTGTACTTTTAAGGTCTCCCAGCTTTTCCATGAGAGAACACTCAAAAATTATCTTCTCGTCAAAGGATTTTAAAAAAAAAAAAGTCAGGTTTTCAAGATTTACAGAAGTCTTGCATAATCTTGAAATAAACATGTAGTCAAAGTAATTTACTTTCACAGAAGAATTTCTTAAAAGCATGAAGTTATTGTTCCTGCTTCTGACAGGAATCTCACGGTGTTTTGAGAGACTAAGCCCAGGTCTCTTGTGATTTATTTCTGCTAAAGAGCTTGCTGTGGAAACTGCAAGCAAGTTTTCCTGAAGTAGTTCCAGAAGTGCTAAGTTAAATTAAAACTTTAAATTTTTGTCATCAGGAAGATCCTGGCAGACTCTGCAGTCTACCTAGCTAAATGCTCAGAAAGCTTTCAGAAAGTCATGATGGCTACAGAGCACCTCCTTTCACCAGCCCACGAGATCACCTGCCAAGAAGTTAAATACAAGCATCACTACATCCCTCACTGTTTGTCAAGCCAGTTACCCCCATACTTCCGTACCTCCAAATGGCAGTAACTTTGGAGTATCCAAGGTACATATCAGAATCAGAGGGTAGTATCCGTCTTATTCATTAGTTTAGCTATTCGTTATGTTTAAAAAGGCAGGAGTTTTTTGTTGGGCTGGTTGGGTTTTTTGGTTTTTTTTTGGAAAAAAGTTTCTCGAGGTTTTTATATCTTTATAGATGAATCCATCTAAGAAAGTAGCTCCATCATAACACAGGTCACTACAGCTCAATAAGCACTTTCAGTCAAAGTTCAAAATCCTAAGCTCCTCACGCATGAGCATGCTTCTCTGGCACGACTGACCGAGTGTGACTAAGCACTCAGGAGTCAAAGATTTTGTGCTTTTATGGTATTTGTCTTTAGAGGAGATACAGAGGTGAGTGATAGGGGTCCCTACAGACTGGTTTCAGACAGAATGTTTCTAAAGAAAAAAAAACAGGTGAATAGATGATTTCTTCGGGGAATAAGACTTCAATAGTGAAATCCTAAGGAACAGGTTAAAGGACACCGAAATAACTCTAGCAGAGAAAAATCAGACTTTTTAGAAGAAATCCACTACTTCTCCCTTCTGTAGGATTGGCTACTTTTTCATTTTACCAGCTAAAGCTTTGAACCTAATTTTGATGCTAGAACAGAGCTTGAAGATACTTACCCTAAAATAAAACAAAAATTTAAAGAAAGCATTACAGTAGAACAACAGGAGCTAGAGGCAGGGGAGGCAGAAGTGTCTACTTGAAATTCTCCTGTTTCCTCCCTCCTCAAAACCTTTAATATTTAGGCTGCTAAGGAGCTACAGCATAACCAACGACGGTTGCCATCCACACCTCCTCCTTACCGACCATGCATTCGCACTCAGGGCTGGAGTGCCAGATACAACATTTGCCGATCCTCCTGCAGGGGTTTCAATGTGCTCCCCCCCCCGCCCCCGAGCTGGAGTGATTAGAGGGCACAGGGAAGGGTCTGACAAGCGCCAGAGCTGGCACAAGGGAGGGGATGGCAACTTGCAGCACAGGGACAACAGCAGCAGGTGGAGGGCAAGGTTGCAGCGTGCGCTGTCAGGCCTGTTCAGGCTGCTGTGGAGCTGCAGACCGAGAAACATGTTTCATCAGAGGTCTAAACAGGTTGTTCTACTTTTCTTGGGGAGGCAGAAAGGGAAGGAATCACCTGCTCACCTGAAAAATAAGATGAAATTTGAATGCATAAAAAAGGCTATGCTCACCTGCTTTTCTTTTGTATCTTGTGATTATGAAGTAGGAAACTATGTAGAGAACAGCAAATAGCAGAAAACAAATCTGAAAAAAAAAAGTTGCACTTGTTAGGTTGTGAAAAAATGCCTGGATTATAATATGAATAAACAGAAAATAATATGTCAACAATTTAAAAGTGGTATTGTGGTATGCTGTCAGATTGACAAAAGTGCAATATATGTAAGTGTCAACACTTACTTTAACTTTCTGTTAATAATATATAAAACATGAACGAGCAAGAACAGCTCAGTTTAAACAATATTTGTTGAAAAACAGCCAACTAAGTAACAGTCCTAGATCCAAATGGTTCAAGTATTAGAGTTAGTGCACTGATCATTTTCTAAGTAACACTGCACTTCCCAAATGAAGTTTCTGGGGTCTTTTTGTTTCCTTCAGGGGTGGGGGGGAAGAATTATCAGCACAAGGGAAAGAAAGTCATCTGTATTAAAGATCAATTCAAAAAGATTCATGAAGGTCACTGCTGCTCAGTCCTAAGGCAGCCAGCTGATAATTCAGTTAAGCACTGACCTGACACATCAAGTCAGTTTACCGGAACTATCATGCAAATAACATTTCAACCAGTCCAGATGGTGTTATATCAACTACACAGCTGCAAGCTTTCTCCAAGTTAAGGGGGAAAAAAATACACTTTGTTTACACAATTTTTGTTTAAGTTTAAATCTCTTGAGTTGTGAAAGCTATCACCTTTTGTATCCCTTCACATGTAAGGTAAGGGTAATTGTTATGTTCTGCAATGGGCTCTGGAAGATCTACTTTGGAGTAAGCTATCAGTAGATGCAGAGAGAAGCAAACAGTTGTTTTATCCTTCCATTGTCTTAAGCCTAACAAATTCTAGGTGACAACATATACACAGCAGAATTTCATTTGCCTAAAGTTGGTGTCTAAGCATGAGCTAGCTGCACACTAAGTTAACCCTTACAGTCAGGGAAGCCTAGGGTACAATTCCCCTTCTTATAAGATAGGGATCTTTTTCCAGTCAGAGGTGACCATTTCTTTACTTAGGCCCAGCGTGACTGGCATCAAGTTGTTTTTAAGATTCAGCACTGGAGTGCAGGAACAATAAGGCAAGACCAAAACAGCTACTGTATGTTGCAGAGACAGGAAGAGAAGAACCGTACGGCAAGATGTTTTTCTTCAAGGTCTTGCAGGGTTAAAACTAAGAAGGGCTCAAGTAATTTACTCTTGAATGAGACAGCAATGGCTCCACATTGCCTCCTGATGCCTATCAAAAATATAAGCCAGTCAGAAACTAAACAATGGCAAAGCATAGCATTCTGCAATGCTGGTGGCCCCTAACCTTCACTGGTACTCAAACAGTAAGAGTGAACAGTGCTGTACACTCTTCAGTGCTGTACTGAGTGTATTTGCTCTTTTTATAAGCCTGCAGGAAACATTACCTCCGCACCACAAGCTGAGAAATTATTTCAAGTATCTAAACTGTTAAGATCCTCTTGCTTGCACACAGTACTAGTAGTGACCAAGTAAGCCTCTAACACAGCCTTTGCCCAACCGAGTCGGTTTTTACCCCCCTAAAGTGAGTTTGCCCTATTGTGAAAAGGTTTCTAATGGCTGTGCATATATCTGCAATTTACAATATACATCCTTAAACGTGTTTTACTTCAGCCTGAGCTTTAACCTCCTCTGAGATCTGAAGTTGCAAGACAACTTTAATGAGCAACAGTTAAACTATTTCTTTAATCAGGCATTTACAGATTGGCTGCCTTCAAAAACTTATTTTCTCCAACAATCAGAGAAGTTACCCTAAGTGAAAGGAAAGAGAAGTGAGGGTAATTATATCCGTTAAACGTTTACATCTAAAAGAACTGTATCACATCCAAACCACTAGGATCAGAGGGGAAAAAAGAGTGTATTGCCTCATCAGGTAAGACTTTTTTTTTTTTTTTTAAATACTAATACACTGGGAGAGTTATTTGCCTCGCGTAGATGGACATTTTAGAAAGGAAACAAAGCGAAGCCAGTATCTAAGCACGATGTCTAGATGCCTGCTACTGCCCTACTGACTTCCCCCAGCAGCATGACTGTGCCATAGGTCTGAAGCCGGCAATTCAGCTCATTCTCTGAGCAAGCAACGCACAGCAGTGATATTTCAGATATAGATGCTAAAAATTAAATTTCCTAACTAGCTCTCTAACTTCAAATATATAATCTGCATAGAGTTCGTTGCTCTAACTTTCCAGAGGTTGCTTCAAAGAGAAAAAAGGTTTTCAATATTAAAAAACACAATTTAACAAAAAATGCACTGGTCTATTTTTAAATCAGACTAAGAGGCAAACTGAGAACAACCTTAGGTTTTCTGACTACTCTGAGACAGCCTGTCCTGTCAGAACAGATAATGCTATGCCACTGCTGAAAAAGAGTCTTTCTCCAAGATTCCAATTACTCTGAAAACTAGACCAAGCCTACAGATACTGACGTCTAATTTTAGGCATCTGCCTTCGAAAATTAGGTATCACATACACAGGATCAGTAAAAATCTTCGTAAACTGTAAGACCCAAATAATCCTGCTCCTGTATGAAATAAACATTTTAAAAAAACAAATACAATACAGATAAGCTCATTTTTGGTCTTAATATGACTGAAATCTTGTTTGCAGCTTCAAAGAAATAGCTGACTTACTCTATCTGTAGCACACTCGCAATGTAAAAAATGGGAGTTCTGTACTTAGAAAGTACCACTGAGATAACAGAGTTATTTTGAGGGCACAGTAGCAGAAAGCTGTCTAGTAACACAAACTGTCAAATGCTGCATTTCTAGTTTTAGATGACAGCTACTCTGCAACTCAGCAATAAGGTGTAATCATATAGCTTGGTGTAATTAATCCTCTGCTTCTGCCAGAATTACAAACAATTTTGTGACTAAATATTTGATAGAAGTTGTTTATTACAGAATACACAATGATCACCACAACAATAAGGAAGTTCTAATCAAGGCTTTAGGATCTTAAGGAGCAAAGAGAGTATTCAGAAACTAAAATTTCCTTATAACAATCTAGACAAGCCAACAAGCAAATGCAGAAATATTCCTTCAGACTCAGTTTATGCTTAGTGAAAGCTATGATCCTGAAGCGTTTGCAACGATGCACACTGAATAGCTTTCTAAAGCAAGTAGCAAAAGCCAGCATCCTAACTATTTTTAGAGTTGAACTCAGTTAAGCTGGGGAAAAGGAATGTGTTGCCCATGATAGCAGAAGAATAGACTCCGCAGTCCAGTCACGCTGCAATCCTGCATTCTTACTCTTCATATTGCTTTTTGTTTCAGGATATTTTTGTACTGCAGAAAATACAGTCCTTTCTGTACTTGTTCTAGTTTCAGTTCATGTTTCTTCATTATGCATGATGAGGTTTGCATGCAGTACTCCAGATACGGTCATATGGCTATATATAATAGTACTAACCCTGCCTTTCTTTACTGAAATCACTTCAGCCCATTCACCGTGAAAAATCACAGTAGTAGCTTAGAATTACCCTCTGATCACTAAATTCATCCATGCTGTCCTCCTCAATCGCTTCCAGCTGAGGAGCTCTCAGCTTACAGCAGAAACTCATTATTTGGGTCCGAGTACATCATCACATCTTTTTTCTTAAGAAAAAAAGAAAAAAACAAACAAAAAATGCATACCTGAATTTTATATCACATCTATCATTTCAGGATAATCCAGTTCTCTCCGTGTTCTAACACAGAGAGACATTCTAACCCTCTTTGGTATTGACCGCATCTTCTAGAAAGCGGATAGTGGTCTAACAACAGAAGTTTTTACTTCATTTTCATGAAAGTCAAGTAAGATTGCTCTTAATACCAATACCTGAGAAAAGCCAATGTAGCTTTCTTCTAAGGCAACACTTATTGCCACGTACACTATAGACGGTTCTTGTTTACTTCATAGCTCCTCTACTGAGGCACAGCTCTTCCAGTTTAGCCAATAGCTGCCTATATATTTTCTGGATTTAGCCCTTGGCTTGGGAGAAAAAGGACAATCTAACAATACTCCTACAGCTTCAAAGATATCCATCTTAACAGCCCAACTTTAAAAAAAAAAAAAAACAAAAACAAATGCTCATAGCCAAGTAGACATAGTGAAATAAGACATGATTCCAAGAAGCACATCATACACAAAACTTCATCAATACCTTCAGTGAAAGAAGAATCTACATACTTTAAAATCCACAACTTCAATCCTTTAATATGCAACAATAACACATAGGAGCAAATAGGATATTCTGTTAAACCCAAATCATACAAGTAATGTTTGCAACCAAAAAGTAGTATTTTATGACGTCATTCATTTCTACAATAAGAATTACCAAAAGACAAGAACGCTACAAATGTAGCAAATCTGGGTCAAGTTACATTATTGATAACCTCAAACTCTCTGCAAAAAGGTGTTTTCACTGGTGCTTGATTTAAGCTCTTCCAGTATCTGAGGTTTGATTTGATGAAACAGTGAAAACACTGTGCAGAGAATGTACACAGCAATGGTGATCAATCAGGATTACCAACCTTCACTGATACAGTGTCAACTGAAAGAGAGAAAGAAAGTAGCTTTCCCTTTTAAAATTTCCTTAAATTGATATTTTAACTTTACAGTGGAACACATTAGCCATGATCACTTCCGTGTAGCCATACTTAGACTGTTGCTAAGAAGCTACTTTAAACTTAACTGTGGTATGTCTTCCCACTATAGGGGAAACACACTCAGTACAAGCTTGACCAGCCATATCAAAAAAAAAAAAAAAAAACACACTACACAGGCTGCCTGCAGAGTGTATTCTCAGTTTGGTACAAATTCTTCATTTTCTGCCTCACCTTATCTTACTCTACCGAGTACAGGTTGCACAAGAACCCAACTACAACTGTCGTAGGATTTCAAAACCCAGGAAAAATTTAAATAAAGGAAATTAAGAGCAATGTGAGATTTTTATATTGTTAGACCCAAACAGCCAAGCAAAGCAATTCTTAGTTTTTTCTGGGTTCATTTTCACACTCCACACCACCTAGCAGCTGA